GTTTTATTTTAGTATCCTGAAGATGGTTCCTTCTAAAACTCTGAGGTTGTAAAACAGAAGAGTAAGTCACAATTTATGTAGGAATAGCCCCAAGTGGAGAACACACATGTAGTACATGCATGTGCTCATACCTGTAAACACTCTTGTTATTCTGTTATGAAATTTTGTTTTATCTTTTTTCCATACATTAAAAAAACAAAAAAAGAGGTAATAAGATGCAGGAAACAGGGTGGAAGGAGAGAATGGACTGAGATTTCTCTGAAATACCCTGTAACGCAGTTGTTAGAGACGGAGTCTTGCTATGTTGCCCAGGTTGGCCTCGAATCCCTAGACTCAAGCAAGTCTCCTGTCTCAAAAAAGGAAAATGAAGGCAGCATGGGTTTTCTTACCACATTTTTTTTTTAAGATTGGGTCTTATGTAGTTCAGGCTGGCTCTGAACTCACTATGTAGGCCTCAAACTCACGGTGATCCTCTTGCCTCGGCCTCTTGCATGTGGGATTATAGGTACCACCACCATACCCAGCTTTTCCTACTTCTGACCCAAATGTTTCACTTCTAAAAAAGTAACTTTTTTCCACTTCTAGAAACTTATTCTACAGATAAATTCCCACAAGTGCAAAATGACATACAAATAAGGCAGTTTGCTATGAAAGCAAAGAAAGAACCCAGAAGCCAGCTCATGCTGGTAATCCCAACACTCAGGTGCTAAGGCAGGAAGATCGGTTAGAGTTTGAGACCAGCTGGGCTGTGAAGTGAGCTCAAGGCCAGCCTTAACTGCACAGCGAGACCCTGTCTCAAAAAAAACCAAAAGAACCCACATGCCTGTGCCTTGGGGTGGACACAACCTGGGTGCGAAGTGCCCTGGAAGATCAAAAAATGCCAGAGCACTTTACTGATGGATATGGAGGGAGCACAAGATATGCTGCTAAATGACTTGTTCCTAAAGAATACGGAGGGCCAGGCATGGTGGCACAAGCCTGTGATCCTAGCACTCGGCAGGCTGGGAAGGAGGATCACTTTGAATTTGAGGTCAGCCCAGCTGGAACTACACAGTAAGACCCTGCCTCAAAAAGCAGCCCCCCACGAATATGGAGATCACCTCTCATGAAGGACATACGAAAAATGACACGTAACTATGGACATGTGTTTACAAACTCCAAAAATATCTCTGGAGAGCATATAAACAACTAGTAATAGTAGTTCCCTCTAGAAAAGGCTACCGGGGAGGCTGAGGGGTGGCTCAGTGGTAGAGTACTTGCCCAGTATGTGGGTGGCCCGGGTGTTATGGTCTAGCACCAAAAGAAAAGATCGGCAGACCAGAAGAGAGCTACTGACCACACATGTACCCTTCTGAATTTCACACCACAGGAATCAATTATATGGTCACTTTTTTTGAGGATATGGATAGAGGGCTAGAATTAAGGCCTTCATGCTGGACTGCAATCCCAGTCCTTTTTTGATTTTTTTTTTTTTTTTTTTGACAGGGTCCCCATGTCAGGTCTCCCATCTATTTGTGTATGTATGTTTTTTGAAACACAGTCTCCCTATGCAGTTCAGCATGGACTTGAGTTCACTGTGTAGCCCAGATTGGTCTCAAACTCAGAACAATCCTCCTGCCTCAGCCTCCTAAGTGCTGAGATTACAGGTGCAAGCCACCACACTCCAGTCTATTTTTGAGGCAGGGTCTCACTGAGTTGCTAAATTACAGATTGCGCTCGAATTTGTGATTTTCTTGGCTTCCAGAGTGCCAGGATTATAGGCACATTCCAGCATGCCTGGCCATATTCCCATATTCTCATAAATTCACACACACACACACACACACACACACTCAGTGCCTTGAGCCGCGGGGAAAAGGAATCCATTTTCACAGTTGCTGAAGCAAGCACATGGCCGGACAATCTTCTTAAAGCCAAATAACGGTGGCCTCAGGAGCCTAACTGCGCAGTATGAAGGGTGCAGGAGCCACCAGGCACAGTGATGGAGGAAGGACTCTGTGCTGGGCACATCTGGTTAGAATCCCAGTTCTGTCACAGAGGACCTATAGTACCACAGCAAGCAACTTGGTTGCTCTAAGCCTCAGTTTCTTCACCAGTGGCATGGGCAGAGAGAACTTGGCAATGGGATTAGGCTTCTTGGCTGGCACACTGACTATGGACCAAGCCCCCACCTGTTTCCTGCCCAGAGGCTGCCACGGGGCCACCAGGAACCCCACATCCAGAAGTGCTAGCACATCAGGTGGGTCTGACACGAGAAGGCAGACCAGCACCCTTGACCAGCACCCAGGCCCGTGCTGTCCTGTCTGCTCCACCCTCTGAGTGCACAGCTTCCTGGAGACGCTGAGGTATTTCATGTGTTTAGTCACTGTGTGAGGCTGGACGTGTCCTTTTCACTGTGAAGCAGTACAAACAGCCCATCGTGGGTATCTAGCTGTGACTTTCCAGTTTGGGGCTGTCGGCAACAATGCTGCTGGTGACTTTTCACACATGTACGTGGATGCACATGTCCCCAGCCCTAGGGACAGAACTGCTGGCTCACAGAGTGTGCCTGGCTTCCAGTTTACAAAATGCTGTTTTCCAGAGGCTTGTGTGCCAATCTTTATCTAAGCACCGCTACCATCTGGTGGCAGAGATGTGTATTGTAGAAATAGAAGAGAAGTTGCTTACATCCCACTTTCCTAACAAAACTGACAAGCAAACTTTATATCCTAGGATTCACTCAGTTCTCTTGAAAGTAAACAATTCTCTCCTGATTCCTTTGTAGTTCTGAGTAGCATCGAGGATGTACAGGGAACCTGAGGGGCAACTTCTGGTCCTCTGGACAAACATTTCCAAATTAATATCACAGGCCACCAGTGCTTTTTTTGAGATAGGGTCTTGTCATTTATCCCATGAGAGTCTCCTAGTTCAGCTCCTCACTGCTAAAATTACAGGCATACACCACCATGCCCAGCCACTGTTTTTTTATCAGACAAGGTCTCGCTATGTAGTTCAGATTGGCTTTGAACTCACTATGTAACCCAAACTGGCCTTGAACTCCCGGTGATCCTTCTGCCTCAGCCTCCCAAGTGCTGGAATTACAGATGCACATCAGCACGCCCAGCTGATATTTTTAATTTGAGCATTTTAATTTGAGTTTAGGTACTTTATTCATTCAATGAGTACTTCCTAGGATCCTAGTTTTTCATCTGGCTCCTCATAATTCACCTACTTTCCTTTCAACCTCCCAAACTAGGGCATCTCTGGCCTAACCAAAGCTGTCTCCCAGTGACAGTTCTTCAGGACAATGACCAAATGTAGCCCTGGGCTGTGGGCACTAGTTGGTGCGGCAGGGACGACTGCCCACCAGAATTCACTCACGGAGGTGGCGGGGAGGGGAGGTGTGGCAGAAACAAAGAACAAGGGAAGACTATGCCTGGTAGTCTAAGCCCGGGTTCTGCCAGCTGAGGTGCCCTGTGCAGAGAATTTAGACTGTGAATGACTGGGGGAAAATCCTGGCTCCAGTTACTGCAAACACGTGTGAACCTCTGGCCATGGAGTTAACCTCCCTGAGCATGTAAAAGAGGGCTATAAATACCTGCCTTGCAGGTGGTGACAGATTCAGATCTTGTGGGCAGTGCAGGTACGAAATGGGCTGCAGTGGAGCAGGAACAGCTATCCGGAAAAGGCAGGGTTTACTGTAAGCGTGTCCTGCACAGCTTTGGACCCTGAGGGCAATAAAGACAGCCAGAGGCACAGGCAAAGGGTAAATAAACCAGAGTAATTAGGCAAATAACTCAAAAGGCCAAGTTGGAGCTGTGCATGGTAGTGTCAGCCCATAATCTCAGCACTCTGGGAGGCTGAGGCAAAAGGATCACAAGTTCAAGTCCAGGCTGGGCTACCTGGCCAGACCCTGTCTTTAAAAAAACGAGGGGGGGAGGAACCCTGTTATTTTTGGGGGGTGGGGGTGGGCGAGGGAGAACTAAAAAAAAACTTTTAAAACCTCCTGCTGCTCTCTGCAATGCCTAAATCTGGGTCCTTCCTCAGGGCTGGAGCTATACTGACTGGGGAGTCTGACAGGTCACAGAAAAGGCTACACAGAGAAGTGAGGGTAGCTTCTGTGTTTCAGTTTCCTTATCAGGAAAGTAAGTGGTCAGAAATAAATTCCTTTTTAATTTTCACTTCACAGCTCCAGGAATCAAAAACTCTTACAAGAGCAGGAAAAAGGTCAAGGGAGTAAGCTTCCAGAATCTGATGGCTTTGGGTGTAAGTCCCAAGCCTGGCACTCGAATCTCTGCTCAGCCCACCCTCTAGGTCCTCCATCCCCTTCCTGAAAGTGGGTGTTGTAAGCACAGCTACCTTTGCTGCGGTCTGCAGACCCAAGGAGACAGGGCAGAGCCTGGCACACAGCAACCAGATGCTCCCTTGGTGCCGTCCAGTACTCTCAGGCTCCTAAGTGTAACAGCACCAGCTGAGTGAAGGCAGCTGGCTACAGGCTGTGCCTAATTTCGTAGCAATTTTGTTTTTATTTATTTATTTTTTCTTTTTGAGATAGGGTTTCACTATGTAGCTCAGGCTGGCCTCAAACTCAGCGATCCTCCTGCCTCAGCCTCCCAAGTGCTGGGATTCCAGGTGTGAGCCAACACGCCCAGCTATTTATTCATTTTTCAATCAAGTTTTACTGACAAACTTCTAAGATAGGATCTCACGAAGTTGCTCACTTACCCAGGCTGAGCTCAAACTTGTGGTCTTCCTGTGTCTGCTTCCAGAGTGCTAGTCTTACAGCTGTGTGCTTACAGCACCTGCTCAATAAACATCTGGCCTGTGACTAACTCACTGTGATCATGACTACAGTAGTCCCAAGCTACAGGTTACCAGTCACCTTTGCCTCTTTTGATACCAAAATATTCAAGGGTAAGCTCCAAACTCCTCTCAAAGTAGTTTCAAATTCCTTCCCCAAGGGCTCACTTCGACTCACTCATCTTAGCACCTGGGTATCTGGGGGCTGGTCCCACCCTTACCAATAGCGAATTCCACCAGGCTCTCATTCTCTTCTGACAGGGTATCGAGGAATAAATCCAGGACTTGCAGTTGCCGCAGATATTCATAGTTGCTGGGGTCATAGGCGAAGTTGGCAAGGTTGGCGAGGACTTGCTCCTTGGCGTCTGCAACAAGAAAGCGGCACTGGAGTCCAGTCTGGGCGGCAATCGCGGGGAGACCCCTGCGCGGTGAGCGCCGCTCACCCCGCGCCGCTCGCTCACCCCGCGCCGCTCACCTTGGCTCTCAGTCTCCTGGAATTCTGTCACCAGCGCCTGCAGGTACGCGAGCCTTCCGACGTGGGGCTCCACCTTCGGCTTCTGGGCCATGGTCGGGTGGAGAGTGGAAAGGGGAAGCGCGACAGCAGGGCAAGAACTCGCCCGGCCTGCACCTGATCCGGCAAGGGCGGACGGGGCGGTAAATGGGTTCAGACCTCAGAAAGTCACGGCCGGAAGCGGGCCCTGGGGAACAGGGTAGGCGGGTTTCAGGATGCTGTAAGAGGTGGGCTTGAAAACCAAACTGAGTTACAGGAGCCATCAACGCGGCTGTTAGCAGGGAACAGGACCCCAGAGGCTGCGGGAGCTCCAGCACCACCCCCTCATCGCCTACGCCCCCCAGAGATTCCCCCCCCAACGGAAGCCGGAAGTCGGCCCCGCCCCCAAGGGAGCGGAAGGGGCGGGGCGAAATTGATGAGGAAGAAGGGCAGTCCCGAACTCTTCGCTGCGCATGCGTGGCACGCTTTCCTCCCTAACTTCCGCTAGGAGCGTGACGAAGACGGAAGGTAGATGGCTTCAGGATCGCAGAAGAGTCAAAGGGCACCAACGTAGAGGATCGTGAGTGCAGAAGCACTTGATGGAATTGGAGCGGACAGCGTTTCCTCACTGGAGCACCGCATGTGCCTTGTGCGTTTCATCTGAAGAACCGGACAGAAGCACCTGGGTACAGCAACGGAACTCTTATTCTTGTGCTTGAGCACAGGATGGAAAACCGTGGGGGATGGAACTCCGGGCTGACACAGAGGACAAAGATGCCTCTTTATGGGGTACATGTCACATTACCATCTTGTCTCCACCTCGGTAACTGGGGATATGGATGTTCCTTATCACCTAGATTTTTTTAATCTTAATTTAATGTGCTTATATATATACATATGTTTTTAATTCTCCACTAGTGAGACAATACGATGTTTGATCATGTATGATTTATTTCACCAATAAGTGTGGTCTCAAGTTGCATCCATTTACCTATAAAAGTCTCTAGTTTACCCTTCTTTATGACTGAGTGGTACTCCACTGTATAAAAATGCCACATCTTTTTTACCCATTCCTCAGTCGATGAGCATTTAGGTTGTTTCCAAGATCTGGCTACCACAAATTGTGCTGCTATAAACATGGATGCACATATATCGCTGTGGAATGATGTTTTTAATTCTTTTGGGAAGATATCCAGAAGGGGAATAGCTGGGTCAATTGGGACCTCCCGTTCTAGTTTTTTGAGGGATCTCCACACAGTTTCCACAGTGATCACACCAATCTACACTCTGAAGGAGAAGGGTTCCTTTTTTCCCAAAGCCCCTCCAGCATTTGTTATTGCTCAGTTTCTTGATACTAGCTATTCTTTACTGGGTGAGGTGAAATCTCAGTGTTGTTTTAATTTGAATCTCTCGAATGACCAGTGATGTTGAACATTATTTCACATATTATTTGTATTTATTCATCTGAGAAGTGTGTATTCATTTCAGATGCTCATTTTTGGATTGGGTTTTTAAATCTGGGAGGCCTGATTTTTTTGAGCTCTGTATATGTTCTCAAAAGTAATCCTTTGTGTGAGAAACAACTGGAAAATACTGTCTTCCACATTGTGGGTTGTCTCTTCACTCTGATGGTGGTTTTCTTGCTGTGTAAAAGCTTTTCAATAGAATGAGATCCCAGTTGTCGATTCTTTGTGATAGTATCTGTGCAATTGCTCATAAAGTCTTTCCCTACACTAGTATATTTAAGAGTTTTACCTATTCTTACCTTCCAGCAGATTTAACATTTCTGTTATTCTAGGTCTCTTCTGGTTCCAGATGCATGTTAGGATTGTTTTCTCTAATTCTATTGGAATTTTGATTGGGATTGCATTGAATCTGTGTAACAGTTTTGGAAGTACGGCCATTTTCATTATATTGGTTCTTCCTACCCAAGAGCATGGGATATCTCTCCATTTTCTAACATCCTCTTTGATCTCCTTTTTTAGAGTACTGTAGTTTTCAATATAGAGGTCTTTTACCTCCTTTGTTACATTGATTCCGAGGTATTTCATGTTTTGGATACTATTATAAAAGGTATTATTTCCCTGATTTATTTCTCAATGAGTTTGTTATTAGTGTACAAGAAGGTTATTGAATTTTGAATGTTGACTTTGTATCCAGCTACATTATCAAATTTGCTTATTAAATCTAGTAGTCTTTTGGGGTCTTCTAAGTAGAGTGGCGTGTCATCTGCAAATAATGATCGTTTTAACTTCTCCCTTTCCTGTCTTTATTCCTTTCTCTTGTCTAATTTATCTGGCTAAAGTTTCCAGGACTATGTTGAATAACAGTGGAGACAGTGGACATCCTTGTCTTGATTTTGATTTTTAGAGAAAGCTTTAAGTTTTTTTTTTTTTTTGCTTTCAGTTTTTGTCCATGTAATATGATGCTGGCTGTTGGTATGTCATAGATGGCTTTTATTAGATGGGGATAAAGACCATCTGTTCCAGTTTTTTGTAGTATTTTTATCATGAATGAGTGCTGGAGCTTGCCAAAAGCTTTTTCTGCATCTGTTGAGATGATCATATGATCTTTGTCCTGAGCTCTATTAATATGGTATGTTACATTTATGGATTTATGTATGTTGAGCCATCCCTGCATCCCTGGCATGAGTCCCACTTGATCATGGTATACAATCTTTTTGATGATTTGGGGCAGTCTGTGTGCCAGAATCTTGTTGAGAACTTTTGCATTAAAGTTCATTGATGCTTTTTTTGGGGGGTTGGTACCAAAAATCAGACTCATGACTTGGTTGTCTGGCAGGCAGGTGCTTATGCCGCTGAGCTAAATCCCCAGCCCTCCAATGTTCATTAAGGAGGTGTAATTCTCTTTCTTAGTTGGGTCCTTCTCTGGTTTTGGTATAAGGGTAGTGCTTGCTTTCAGGACTGAATCTAGAAGTATTTCTTCTCTTTCAATTTCATTAAAGAGTTTGAGAAGTAGTTGTTTTGGGTCTTCTCTAAATTCCTTATAGGATTCAACAGTAAATCTTTGTTGATTTTTTTTTAAATTTTGTTTTAGAGAGAGTAAAACGAAGCAAAATAAAATAGAATACAGTCAATCAAAACAGGTCAGTGTAAGTGACACAGGATTTCTAAACAAGACAATAGGAAATCAACAATGGTCATCACAAAGTGCCTCTTGCCATCTTCAAAATAGCTGCCTAAGCCACTTCGGCAGGACCTCCCCCATAGATGCTACATTGTGTGTTGTTATCCTCTGAATAGATATATTTTACTTCATTAGCTGTCATCACAGCCTGTGTTTCTCTGGATCAGCTGGTCATTTACTTGGTGGGAGGGGGAAACGTTGGTTGTTTGTGTCTCCCTGGCTGCTTTCCAGAAGGGCTGGTGTCTGGCATATTGCAGAATCACGGGAGGGAGGTTTTAGCTTCTTGTTGACTTCTTGTTCTCCTCCCCTGCTAAGTGGCGCTGATTCGTAGGAGAGGGCTTGTGTCTGGCTCTTCCCCAGTCAGCCCATGCATGATCCATCTTGTGTCTGTTGTTGATAGGTTTTTAATTACATGTTTGATTTCATTGATCAATACTGGTTTATTTAGGATGTTCATATCTTCTTGATTCAGCTTTGGTAGTTCATGTATATCTAGGAAGTGGTCTGTTTCTTATGCATTTTTCTTGTCTTTTTTTTTTTTTTTTTTTTTTTTTTTTTGAGACAGGGTCTCACTGTGCCATTCAGGCTGGCCTTGAGCTCACTCTGTAGCCCAGGCTGGTCTCAAACTCGCAATGATCCTCCTGCCTCAGCCTCTCGAGTGCTGGGATTTTACGTGTGCCACTATGTCCAGCTCATTATTTTTCATCTTATTAGAATACCAGTTTTCAAAGTAGGATCACATAGAATTTATCTATTATCATCTGAGAAAGTTCCTAATTGGGTTTTGGAGCAGGGCACATTCTTCTGTGCTTTAATGGATTTGATCTTAGTGATTTTGTTGTACTTGGCTTCTTGGACACTATATGGTGTCCACTGAGACACATACAGTCTTTGAAGGTTGAGGTGACTTCTTGATCTGTTGTTTGCAGGTGCATTCCCTGAATTTTGAAACAGATCCACTTCTGTTTTTGTTTGTGTTTTGTTGTCATTGTCATTTTTTTGATTTTGTTGTTTGTTTTGTTTTTGAGACCAGGTTTCACTAAGTAGTCAAGACTGGCCTTGAATTCATGGATCTCCTCCTGCCTCAGTCTCCCAGGTGCCAAGATTATAAGACGGTACCACCACACCTGGTGTGATCCACTTGTTTTTTTATTGGTTCATTTTACATATTGGTATCATTCATCATATGGATTTTTTTTTTTTTTTGGTACCAGAGATCAAATTTATGACCTTGCACTATATTGCTGAACTATATCCTCGGCCCCATCATAGGGGATTTGTACCTATAGATACTTCTTTTTTCCCATTCCTCTTCCTTCCTTCAACACCTCAACCCCTCTTTTTTTCCCCAGTGTCTGTTATAAATTTTGGTCCTCATTTTCACTTTAGGTTTCTTGTACCAGAGAAACCATGAGTTTTTTCTTTTCTTTTTTTTGGTGCTGGGGATTGAACTCACGACCTTGCGTTTGCCAAGCAGGCACTTACTCCACTGGGCTAGATCCCTGGCCCCAACCATGAGATACTTAAACATGTGTCTCCGGTTTATTTCACTTAGGAGTGTGGTCCCAAGGTCTGTGCACTTTCCCACCAGTGTCTCCAGTTTATCCTTCTTCGTGGCAGAGTAGTACTCCCACATCTTTTTTATCTATTCATTGATTTATAAGCATCTGGGCTGTTTCTAAGACTTAGCTATAAAAACTGTACCACTATAAATATGGGTGTGTATATATTGCTGTGGTATGATGCTTTTAATTCTTTTGGAAACGTACCAAGATGGGGAATTGCTGGGTTGAACTTGCAATGATCTTCCCAGCTCAGCCTCCCTAGTGCTGGGATTACGGCCATGTGCCACCATACCATGCTTGTGCAAAAGCTTCTTAATAAGATAAGACCCCAAACCAGGCACACACCTGTAATTCCAGCACTTGTGAGGCTGAGGCAGGATTGCCATAGTTGGAGGCTACCATGAGGTACACAGTGAGCTCAAGGCCAGTCTGAACTACAGCTGTCTATGGCTGTAGTTCTTTTTTTTTTTTTTTTTTTTGTACTAGGGATCACACTCATGACCTTGCGCTTGCCAGGCAGGCACTTACGCCACTGAACTAAATTCCAGGCCCTGAATGGGACTTCTAGTGTTCTTTGTTTGCTTGTTTGCTTTTGTTTTGGGTCCTAATTTTTGGAGGCATTTCCATATGATTTCCCCAGTGGTTACACCAGTCTACACTTTATTTATTTATTTATGTCTTTTTCCTTTTTATCGGTACCGGGGATTGAACTCACGGCTGCTTGCTTTCAAGGCACGCGCTTATGTCGCTGAGCTAAATCCCCAGCCCCAGTCTACACTTTAACCAACAGTGGAGAAGGCTTCCTTTTCCTCCACAACCCTGCGCATTTGTTACTGGTTGGTTTCTTGATAATGGCCATTCTTTATGGAGTGAGGGAATCTCAGCATCGTCTTAATTTGCATCTCTTGAATGACCAGGGATGGTGAACATTTTTGCACATATTTATTTGCCATTTTTGCTTCTTCATCTGAGAAGTATCTGTTTATTTTAGATGCCCATTTTTGGACTCAGTCTTTAAATTTGGGGGCATCTGATTTATTTAAGTTATTTATATAGATCTTGTCTGAGGAACAGCTGGCAAAGATTTTTTTCCCACACTGTGGGTTGATGGTTTCTTTTGCTGTGCAAGAAGTTTTATTTGTTTGTTTGTTTGTTGTTTAAATGGGGTCTCACTGTCTCAAAAATCCTTGCTGTAGTTCAGACTGGCCTTGAGCTCACTGTGTACCTCATGGTAGCCTCCAACTATGGCAATCCTGCCTCAGCCTCACAAGTGCTGGAATTACAGGTGTGTGCCTGGTTTGGGGTCTTATCTTATTAAGAAGCTTTTGCACAAGCATGGTATGGCGGCACATGGCTGTAATCCCAACACTAGGGAGGCTGAGCTGGGAAGATCATTGCAAGTTCAAGACCAGCCTGGGATACAAGGCCAATCTGAACTGCATAGTGAGACCCTGTTTCAAAAAGACAGGAAAAATAAAAGACTTCTGTTGTTGATTCTTTGTGATAATTCCTGTGTGATTGGGGTTTTGTTTATAAAGTCTTTGCCTATACCAATATCTTCAAGAGTTCTATCTATCTTCCAGCAGATTTATTGTTTCTGTTTTAATATTTAGGTATTTGATTCATTTTGGTTTTAGTTTAGTGCATGGGGAAAGATACTGGTCTAGTTTCAATCTTTGGCATGTGGAAAGCCAGTTTTTACAGCACCACTTATTAAAGAGGCAATCTTTCTTCCAGTGAATGCATTTGGCTCCTTTGTCAAAGATAAGGTGGCTGAGTGTGTTTGGAGTTGTTTCTGCATCTTCTGATCTCTTCCACTGATCCTCAGTTCTGTTTTTTGCTGGTACCGTGCTGTTTTTATCACAGTAGCTTTGTAATATAACTTGAAGTCAGGGATTTTGATGCTGACTGCTTCGTGTTTAATGCCCAGAATTGCTTTGGTTATTCTCCCATCCAAGTACTAACCAGGCCTGACCCTGCTTAGCTTCCGAGATCAGACGAGATCTGGCGCGTTCAGGGTGGTGTGGCCATAGACAGCTTTGGTTGTTCTAGGTCTCTTCTGGTCCCAAATTAATTTTAGGATTGTTTTCTCTAACTCTTGAGAGATATACTATTGCAATTGTGATCAGGCCTGGATCAGGGCACAGTATTCCCCCCACCCCTGAGGTTCCAGGACCCTATGGCCAGCTGGGTTCCAGTGCACAGTGAGTCACAGCTGGGGCAGGATTTTTGAGCTTAGTTTGAGTGGTGAGGTACCCTGCCAGCTTGGTGTGAGCGCCAGGCCCTTAGCATCTGTGACTAGCCCATGTGGCTTGGAGCTCAGGGTAGCCACGGATTTTCTCTGTCTTTCAGTGGACAGTGCAGCAGAGACCTGGGAGACCAGAGTTTGGGGGCAGGATGAAAATGAGCCCCAAGCCTTCTCCCGCATGAATGAGCCCAGGCCCTGTCTACAGGATTCTCAGGGAGTCAGCTAAGTGTGGTTCTGGAATCAGATGGGCTATCCCAGTCTGCCTGAGCGATGGCTTCAGGGTCCCTCCTCCTTAAGGAAGAATTCTCAGACTTGGCTTTGTGTTGAGGGCAGTGACAAATCATATTTCTTTCTGACCAGTCCATCACACAGTAGATGCTTGATAGATGTTGGTTGAAGGAATTCTGCCTGGAGATTTCTTTTTCCCTTTTTGCCCACAGATTATTGCCCATCTTTCCCGGAGGAAAATGAGGTCAAGATTCTCTATGCTGAAGATTCATCAGTATCTTTGCTCCTTAAAGGTTTTCAGGATACATAATATATTGAAACCTGGTGGATACCAGCATCTCGAGTGCTTACCTCCCCCCCAGCTCCCTCTTCTCACATAGCTGAGGTGGAAAACTGTGTCCTGGCACTTTTCCTGCAGGGCTCATGCTGTGGTTGGTAGCTGCGCTCAGGGCTGGATGGGAAGCTGAAAGGCACTGGGGGTCTTCAGGACACTCACACAGTCAGCATCTCCCTACATAGCCCAGGCTGGCCTTGAATTCTTTTTTTTTGTCTTTTTTCTTTTTATTGGTACCAGAGATCGAACTCATGACTGCCTGCTTACAAGGCAGGAGCTTATGCCGCTGAGCTAAATCCCCAGTCTCGGCCTTGAATTCTTAATCTTCTTGTCTCAGCTTCCCCAGTGCTAGTATTACAGCAGTGTGCCAATGTGCCTAGCTCATACTTTTCAAATTGGCAGAGACTTTAGCTCACCCAGACGATAATCACATTTGTCAAGGCTCAGAGAAGGCAAGCAGTTTGTCCAGAGCCATGCAGTGAACTGTGGCAGTGAAGTAAGAGCTCAGGTCCCTGTGTTGTCTGCTGTGCTACCTCCTTTGGCCATAAGAGGGCGCTCATGGCAGGGGTCTGGAAGAGCCTGGGCAGCCCCAGGATGCTTATTTTGCCAGCTGGACATGTGGAGGAGAAAGGCTGGCAGTCAGGTGATGAAAATAAAGTGATTTCTCCTGATAAGATTTTCTGGATGCAGCCTGGCTGAGCCTAGTCGAGTCTAAATCAACAAACAAGGCCTGAGGTTGAGCAGCTCTGGTCAAGCTGGGAAAAAAGAAGGGGAGGGAAGAAGTTTACACTGGGCTTACTTTTCAGTTTTATTAGTTCAGAATCTATGATATGCTCCAGGGAACATTTTTGTGTATAATTTAAACAAACTGCTTTCCCATTTCCTGGGATACCTTGTTGGGACAAGTCTGCACTACAGCCAGCTTGGTGATGCCTTTAGGGAAGTACAGGCAAAGTGTATGTGTAAGGCAGGTAGCTTTGGCCACTAGGCCACAGGCAGAGGCCCAGCCAGCTACTGTCTTAGGTTAACACTTTTCTTTTTTGAAATTTTTTTTTGTCTTTTTCCTTTTTATCGGTACCGGGGATCGAACTCACAACTGCCTGCTTTCAAGGCAGGCACTTATGCCGCTGAGCTAAACCTCCAGCCCCTAGGTTAACACTTTTCTTCTATCTCTTGTTTCAATTTTTTAAAAAAAAATTGATTTTTGAGACAAGGACCTCTGTGTTGTTCATGTTGGTCTTGAACTCAATATATAACCCAGGCTGGCCTCAAACTTGCAGTGATCCTCCTGCCTCAGCCTCCCAAGTGTTGGGATTTATAGGGTTGACACTTAAACACAGTAAGGAAAAGGCCTCAGGAGGCTAGAGGGAATCACAGGGCTTCTGTTGCAAATGCAGTCCTGTTTTCAGCATGGTGCTTGGGCTACTTAGCAACCCTTCCCCTCTTCTGGTCAGTCAAACCTCTGTGTTCCTTGTGCCCTGTCACTAAATCTCTCCACCAAGGAGAGATTGGGACAAAGGAGAGAAGACCCTGGAGCAGTGTGTGCTGAGGTACCAAGGGACTCCTCAGGCTTCCCAGATTTGGGGACCTAAGCCAAGGACTTGCTCTGCACAGGTGCAAGGGTAGCAGATGTTCCACCCGCCCTTCACTCTGTCCCCACCTTGCATCCAGGCCAACTTCCCCGCCTGCCCTTCCGCTGCTGCTCCTCCCGGGGTTGCAGTCAGTGTGAGATGTAGCTGCTTGTGCAGCCACACCTCTAGTCTTGGTTGTCCTGAGAGTCAAGGCAGATTGCTTGTGTCCCTGGAGGAAGTGCACTCTTAGAACTGTCTTGAGGCCACAGAAGGACAAGGAGAGCCGATGTTGGAGGGCTGTGGGTTGGATGGGAAGGTCCAGTGTGATGGGGAATAGCAGCCGCCGTCAGCTACCTACCGAGCTGGACTTGCATGATAGCCCCCAGCAGGGCTCAGAGACACCTTCCCAGACCCAAAGGAGAAAGCCGGAAAGGCCTGCTCCTGGATTCTGCTGGCTGGCAGCAATGTCAGTCCCCGAGCAGACCTCAGACACTGGTCACCATCTCAAGGAGTGGCTGCTCCTTGGGACTGTCCTGGCCTTGTGCGGCAGGCCCCTGCGTCAGACTGGCCTCTGGGGTGGCTCCTTCTGCCTTGGGTTGCCTGCCTTGCTGTTCCTTCTTCTTCAGGTAGTAGAATCCTCCAGCCACAAAAAGTCCAGCTGAGCTGAGGAAGAAGCTTGACATGCAGAAAACGTAGGAGAAGTTCCCAGTGCGGTCCAGGACGAAGCCTAGGGGACAGACAGCAAGTTAGGCCATGCCCAGAGCTGCCTACCCGGCTTCCTCCCACTAACTTACGCATTCCCTGAGAGTCGGGATTTTATTTTTGGCTTTTCTGGACAAGGAGTCATTGCTGGCACCCAGCAGGCTCTCAGGTATTTGACAAATGAAAGCAAGGAAAAGTACTAGACCTACTCCAAGCTGGGTAGGAGGCCTCAGGCCAGAAGAGCATCATGGCAGAGAGCAAGGAGAAAAGGGCTTGCAGAGTCAGATACTTGTTCAGCCCCCTCTCAGACCCTGCCCTTCCTCTTGGATCCCTCTCTATTTACGTGCTTGGAAATTGGGACTTCTGGCGTGGCACTCAGGGGAGTCCCATTAGGCTTGAGTCAGCTTCCCAGTTCTCTCCGTAATTACTGCCATTATGTGTTACTGACTGTCACCGTTATCAAGGGCTTGACCAACCTCTCCTCATTTACTATGGAAGTCACTCTTAGTTGCCTGGCACTCGCTCCTCTGGGTCTCGCTTTCCACTTTCTGTTAATTTCCCTCTGAGCAAAAATCCCTGCAGTGGTCATTCCCAACCCCTTCATCAGAATGTAAGATCCAAGAGGATGGTTTCTGGCCATGTGTGCCTGGTGAACGGCCTGTATGAATAAATGGTCAGGGGGAGTTCTGTGTTCTTTTTTTTTTTTTTTCCCTTCCCTCAACACTGGGGATTGAACCCAGGGCCTCATACTATGCTACATCTTTGACCCTCCTTATTTTTTATTTTGAGAACTGTTCTTGCTAAGTCACCAAGTTGCTCAGGCTGGCCTCACATTCGCGGTCCTCTGTCTCAGCCTCCCGTGTAGCTGAATTACAGGTGTGTGTCATCACATTCAACTTCTCTTCTGCATTTTGAAGCTGACATTGTGGCTCAGGGGGGGAAATGGCTTGCCCAGGTCTGATAGGTAGGAAGTAGGAGAACCAGGATGTTAACAACAGAAAACATGTACAGCACTTATTATGTACCAGGTTCTCTACTAAGCTCTTTACTGCTTAACTTACGATAGTGCTGTAAGCCCATAAGATAGATTCTGTTGTCCTCCTCACTTCATTGATAAGAAATCTGAGGTATGGAGATTGTTATGCTTTGTGTCTGGATGTGCCCCCAAAGCCTCATGCAGTCATGTGGGCAGGCTTCTAGAATTTGTCATTGATTCACGGTCCAGGGCTGGGATTATAGGATGAGTGCTACAAACAAGTGGGTGTGGCCTACATACAAAATAGGGACAGAAAGAGTCTTCTCTGCCTGGTCCTCCCTATTAGCTCTTGTTGATTTTGTTGTCTTCTTCTGCCATGAACTGTTACCCTCTGCCACGTGTTTTTCTGCCTTGGGGCCAGCTGAGTGTGGACTGAAACCTCTACAAACTGTGAGCTAAATAAACCTTTCCTCCTTAATTTTGGATGTCAGGAATTTTGTCTCAGCAACAACAGAAAAGTAATCAACACTGAGTTGAAGATGAACTTAGGTAGAGCAAACCCATAATTTCAAGCGTTCTTATTCCCGTAGGTGGGGAACAGTCTCTAGTCTTTCAGAGCTTTCAATGATACCAAAGACCTCTTGGCATGTGTGCCATGAGTTTGCCACTGCTGCCCTAAAGTGCTGTTATGGTTGATATATTGTGTCAACTTGAGCAGTTTAGAAGTTTAACTGATAGACTCAGCAGGGAACAGGGTTCTTACTTTGTAAATATCCTCATGCTGTACAAAGGAGGGCAAGGAGATTTGTGAGTATTACACCTACCCCGGAGGGTAGGGGGTGGCTTGTGTATAATATAAGCCAGGAGAAGAGGCTTGTTTTCTCCATTTTGCTCTGGCTTATCCTTTTGGCTGCTGCCTTGAAGTGCTGCCGTGGTGCAATGCCATCCTGCCTTGGAGCCAGCGATTATGGACTGAAACCTCCACAAACAGTAAAACTTTCCTTCCTTCATTTTGGGTGTCAGGTATTTTGCCTCAGCGATAAGAGAAAGGTAACCAAGACAGGTACCTAAATCACAGATACCAAATACCTACTCCTGGAGATGGTGCTGAATGGGGCCCAGATCTGTCCAGATGGTCCTACTTTGCCCCACCCACACCCCATCTGGGTACCCCCGAATGCCTCCCACTTGTAAGCCCCCTGAATTGAAGATGGGATCTGCTTGCCTCCCCACCATCCTGCAGGCAGCCCATTCCTTGGAGCTGCCCTCCCCAGGCTGCCAGGAGCACCCAGTTTCCCTCAGCCTTACCAGCCAGTGGTGGGGAGATGAGGGAACTAATGCCGATAATGATAGAGAAGAAGCCCAGCGCACTGGGGAACCGGTCCATGGGGACAATTTCCATAAGGACCTGGAAGATGAAGATGCCAATGCCGCTCATGGACGCGCTGTATAACAGGCAGAAGCCTGCCAGCACCCAGAAGTTGGCTGATACTGTGCACACCAGGTTGGAGAGCCCATTGAGCAGGACTGCCAGGGTGAACAGGTACTTTCGGTAGGAGGCAAAGTATGGCCGGCCTGTCACCAGTGCCACCACTGGCCGCAGGAAGGTGCTGCAGAAGCCGATGCTGGAGATGAGCAGGGCTGCTTGGTACTCGTCCACTCCATACTTTATGGCATATGGCACCAGGAAGATAGGTGGCAGCAAGTAACCCATGAACATCCACATCACACCCAGTGTGTAGATACGGTAGCCCACATTGTGTTGCAGGATATCAAAGGCCAGATGGTGCCGGACAGCCGAGCCCCATGCTCCCGGGCAGCTTTGTGCTGGTGTCTTGGAGGGGTGAAGTGGATCTTCTTTGGTCTTGGGGACACTGGTGGCTATAGGCCTGATGATGGCCCCGCAGACACAGCAATGGAGGAGGACCCCCCCAAAGATAAGGAAGGAGCCCCTCCAGCTCAGGTTCTCCAAGAGGTAGCGGGCGAATGGAGGCCAGAGGGTGACACCCAGGGAGATGCCAGTGGAGGCCAGTGCATTGGCCAGCGGCCGCCGGCGGATGAAGTACAAGCCCAGCACTGTGATGCTGGACTGGAAGCTGAGGCTCATGCCCAGGCCTGTGGTGCGAGAGGGGAGACCTGCTCAGGGGTGTTCAGGAGATTGTTAGTTGTGCCCAGAGCAGGGTCCTGGGGTCACGTCCCATGTCTGCCTCCTTCACTTCCAGCCCAGACCCACTTGTAAGCCCCCTGAATTGAAGATGGGATCTGCTTGCCTCCCCACCATCCTGCAGGCAGCCCATTCCTTGGAGCTGCCCTCCCCAGGCTGCCAGGAGCACCCAGTTTCCCTCAGCCCAGCACTATAGTGACCTTTAAAAAGCCCATTTAACACCTTCCAAAGACTTCCTGTCACACTTGAAAAACAACTGAAAGATTTCCTATGCCCAGAAGGCCCTGTGGTTTGGCTCAGACCCCTCTCTTGGGTAGCATTTAGGCCGCTCTCTGTCATTTACCAGGATTAAGCTACCACAGCTCCTTCTTTTCCTCTGAACAAGCTGCCCCTACCTTGGCGTATTGGCAGTTGCTACATCCCCTGCTTGGAAGATGCTTTTCCTTGTACTCCGCCTTGGCTCAGACATCACCTCCTGCACAGAGGGGGCCTTCCCTGCTCCCCACTGCTCCGTGCTACACCCACAGAGCTGTGGAAATGAAGCTCAGAATGGCGCACCCCCTTCAGCTCACAGAGGCTCCTGGGCTGACCCTGCTGCTGTGGCTCCCGTGGTCATTCACTTGCCTGCCCTCCTAGTCAACCATCGGGGCCTCTTCCTCTGTACCCAGCGCCTCTTCTCCATCCTCACACTCAGCTGCTCTTTTGGGTGATCCCCACTCCTCCATGCGCTTAGTGGTCAGCCCTCTACTTCTGTCCTGTAGCCAGGCTACTCAGGCATCTTGTCGGCAAGTCTCCTCAGCCTGTTCTTCTGTTTAAAAGGCAGTGGGATCACAAATTTGAGCCCAGCCTGGGAAGTCTATCTGGGGAAAAAAAATAGAAGACTGAGGACATGACTTAGTGTTAGTCAAAGGCCATGGGTTCAGTCCCATTTCTCTGTGCTTTTACACAGAAATGTGTGGGAAGGGCTGGAGGTGAAATGTGTACCCCGCAGGTGCAAGGCCCTCAGTTCTACAGAAGACGACCTGGACACCTCTCCTTGAGTGCAGAATAATTGCTGCAACATTAGTTAAATCGCATGTACTGATATGTAGGGGGGCTGAAGATGGTATATCTTTCTTCAGTTGGCTCTAAGCAATGCAAATAGGGCCAGCTGAAGTACTGCTGTGTAATCTTTGGGGCCATTCTGACAGTCTCCTGTTTCCTTGCATAGTGCTCTCTTTAAAGATATGAGCACATTGGGATGGCAGAGCCAGTCAGCTCCAACTGGCTATGAGCCTCAAAATACAGAGGATATGCGTCCCCAGGGAACAAAAGTTTACGTATCAGAAACTGAAGCAACAGCCTCCTAAAACATTTCAAATGCTACCTTAATTAAATTATGCAGATTGATCATTTGCATGTCATTCTCCCTGCATATTAGAAAGATGCTTTTCTCCCTACCTGGCCAGCCAGTTCAAGTTACTCACGTAATTCCCGCCATCCTCACTGTCAGTCATCCTCAAGTCACCCTCCCCATAATAAATTCTAAGAGAGGCCTTGGATCAGGGCCTTTGTCTGCACATCCTTACTAGGATCAGCCTTAGGGCCTCTTGGCTGCCCTTAAATTTGAATATGTCTTGGTGTCTGTATTCTTGCTGTGGGTTGCATTGGAAGTGGTAGATTGGAAGTAACTTGCTAGGATTCCAATAACATCTCAATGGGATTATAAATATAACTTTTTGGATTGTGAAGAAGACTGGAAAAGGGATTACAATATTTGGTTTACAGGACTCAGTATTTGGGATTACAATAAATTCCATCCCTTAACACGTCAACAAAAGCAAAAACAAAAACAAAAGCATGGAAGTATTACCTCTTCCAGTCTCTAATCCTTCCCTTCCCATTTTCTTTCCTTCCCCTTCCTATCCAACCCTGTGCTGAGCACCAAGCCATGCTAGGGAAGCCTAACACCTTTTGAGACAGGGTCTCACTCTGTAGTTCAGGCTATGAACTCACTGTGTAGCCCAGAGTGGCCCCAAACTTGTGGTGATCCTCGTGCTTCAGCTTCCCAAGTGCGCGGACTATAGGCATGCACCATTGTGCCTGACTGGCCAGGCTAACATTTAAATTTAACATCTGATTAAATTTGGATCAGGCCTTGATCCTCCCTCCACACCAGACCCACTCTGATCAAGATCTCAAGGCCACACTGCCGATAGTGAGCCAGGCCTTATCTCACCCGACCCACAAGGAGCATGATACCCTTCATCATTTGTTATGGAGGATCTAAGATGTCCCCTCAGAGTCTCTGGGTTTAGAGGTGCAGCTTTCTGAGCTGATCGGGATCATGAAGACTAACTTAAGTGGATCAATCCATTGACGAGACCATAATTTGATGGCACTACTGGAAGGCAGTGGAAATTTCAGAAGTGGGACTTAGTTGAAGGGATTGGGTCATGGGAGCATGATGGGGGGAGCTATCTCTCGTCTCCAGCCTCCTTCTCCCTGTTTCTTTCTTGTACTCATTGCTTCCCAACTGACAGGAAGTGATATTTCTGCCTTCAGACCAGCCAACCATGGACTGAAACTGCCGGAACTGTGAGCCAAGATAATTTTCTGCTGTAAGCTTTTTTTGGTCAGGTATTTTGTCCCGCTAATGGAAAGTAAATAATATATCATACATTTTTTTTTTTTTTTTTTTGCATCATGCTTTCTTGAGAAACTCCTGATTCTCCTACTTTTCCAGTGATTTCTTGCCTAGGCCTTTGGTCACTGGAATGCCCAGGCTCAACTTTCAGGCTTCTTCAGTCATCACTTTCATTTTCTCAGGGACAGCCAGGCGATTCCTCATCTCATGTCTTTGCTGTCACCCGTCTCATGACTCTTGGACTGTGCATTCCAGCTCAGGGAACTCTAGATTAGTGTTGAAACCTGAGCTTCCCATTTCCCTCAAACTTGCTCCTGCCGGTTTCCCCATAATACTTGATCCCTGTTCCATCCATCCTTCCAGCAACTTAAGGCCAAAACCCTTGGCGTCACCTTCTTGTCTCTTTGAACCTTGGATCATCCTTGACCTTTCAGACACAATGTACGTTGCCTCCTCCCATCACTTCCGTCATCCCCTCCAAGCTGTGGCCACTTTCTCTGGCTCAGTGGTCACACCCCTGCCTGCTCTGCCTTCAGCCACCCTACAGACCAGCCCTTATTCCCAGAGGGGTACTTTGCAAGAACCCTTCTGTGAAACCTCTCAAGTGGTTTACATCTCACCACACAGCCTTTTATGAGCTCAACCGCTATCTAGCCCCCACTCCAACTCTTTGACGTCCTCGTTCATACATCATCCCCTTTCTGCTCCTAAACTTCAGGACCTCTGTGTTCACTGTTCCCTCTATCAGAAATGCTCTTCCTCCCGGAGCCCTGAGCCAGATTCCCTCCCTTTGCTACCTCTTTACTTGCTACGGTTTACGTAAGTGTCCCTAACATCCCATGTGCAAAAGGCTCAGTCCGTAGCTCAGTGCTGTTGGGAGGTAGTGGAGACGTTTCTCTGTGTCACTGGGGGATCCACACAGGGGTTAATGTGACCCCAGTCCATTCCTCTTTCTCTCTCTTGCTTCCTGACTGTGAGGAGCAACTTTGACTTTGTGCTATAATGTGCAGCCTTACTGCAGGCCCAAGCCATGGACTGAAACCTCTGAAACTGTAAGCCAACATAACCCTTCTCTACAAGTCGATTATCTCAGGTGTTGTTACAGTGACAGACAGCTAACGTACTACGCAAATGTCAGCTTCTCTCCAAGGCCTCCATGGCAGCCCTACTGAAAACAGCAAACTCTTCATCCTCTTCTAGTGCTTGCTCTAAGTGTCCTAGGCATTTTATCTCTTGTTTCACCCCAGTCTCAACCCAGGCCAGGGCCCTACCACTCTCTCCTCATCTTCTAGTCCTGTCTTCTCATTGTCGTGTCTTTCTATTGTGCCTGTCCCTCGTGGACTGTAGGCAGTTCAGGAAGAAGAAAGGGGCTTGCCTGCTCTGGCCCCTCCTGGCAGCCACTTTAGGTAGAGCGAAAGTCACCTGTGATCAGTCCGGCTGTAAGGAAGAGCTGGCTGAGAGAGCGGCTGAAGCAGCTGGCCACCATGCCCAGGCTGGCCAGCATGCCACCCAGCATCATGGTCACTCGGCAGCCATAGTTTTCCACCAGGATGCTGCACAGGGGTCCTGTGGGAAGCAGACCATTGAAGCAGCAGCTGAATGAAGAGGCCCAGTTCTGGGACCGACATAGGGGAGAGGGGCCTCAGTCAGGCTTAGCAGGAGGCTCAAAGGACATGAGACCTGGAGCCTGCCAGCCTGCTTCTGGTGCTTACTCTTCCCCAACCTGGCCCGTGGCCTGAGCAAGCCTGGATCCCTCTCTGTACTTCAGTTTATTCCCCTACGGAGAGAGGGGTCAGACTGAGCCCTGTTGGGTTCCGATAAGGATCCCCAGAGGGACAGACCAAGCCTCCCACTGCCTGAGAACCCACCACTAGTTCCATCTGGGTGAAGCAGGATTTGTTCTGGGCCCACATGGACACCTCTTGCTTGGGGTCTGTCATGGAGGAGCTGTCCCAGGGCATCTAAATCATGGTGGACACTTCCCGCCTTTAATCTTCTAGAAGACTGACCACTGCCCTCCCTCTGCTTTCCATCGTGCACACCTGGGTGAAGGCCTGGACTATCTTGAACCTTCTTGCTCTGACCTCTTGAGTGTTCTAGAGAAAACCAAGCCAGGTATCTTCTTCCCTCTCTTGTCACCACCAAAGCTATCTTCAAAATCCATATCTAGGGCTGGGAGGTGTAGCTCAGGGGTGGAGTGTGAACCTAGTGTGTGCAGGATCCTGGGTTCAATCCCCAGCACCAGAAAACCCACACCCTCAAAGCCCTACCACCAGAGCCCCTTCCCAACCCCCCAGTTCCACACCTGATGTCTTCTCCCTATGTAAAGGGGCCTGTCTCTGTTGTACTGCTTCCTTACCACCCACACTGACCACCTGAAACCAGCCAGCCAGCTCAGCCGGCTGCTTTTGGATACCTTGTGTGGGTTACATTCACCCAGTAGCCAGTCCCTGAGAACACAGAATGGAGCTTCTCCAAGTGAGTGTCCCAGAGTGCAGCCAGAGCGTCAGAGAGAACGTGGACATGCCTGTGCCTCCATGCCTGTGTGGCACGGACAGTGAGCAGGCAGCCTGTCCCAAGAGACAGTCACGGGGACACCGCTGACAAGCTGTCCTTGCTGATGCAAGAGAGGTGAGGCTTTGGAGAAGGTGTGACTCCTGACCCACACACCTTACACATACCTGAGTCTGTCGTGACTCAGGAAAGGGAAAGGTGACATTGGGAAAAGCTCTGAGTCATGGAGTTGGGCTGGGGCTGGATGGGGTCCCGGAGGCAGGCGCTCCTGCTTCTCCACAAACTGCTCGGCAGCCTTGGGCCGGCCTTGTACTTTGTGCTTCCTCACTTTCCTTGTCTCTGAAATATGTGTGCCTGAAGGTGCTTGGACAGATCAATGACACAATCAAGTTTAAAATTTCATTAGTATGGGGCTGGGGATTTAGCTCAGCGGCATAAGCACCTGCCTTGCAAGCAGGCAGTCGTGAGTTCGATCCCTGGTACCAGTAAAAAGGAAAAAGATTTTTAAAAATTTTTTTTCATCAGTATTCTGAAATGCCCATGTGTGTGAGCCACAGAGGGACAGACAGGATTCTGCATGGACAGAGATGTTGGTATACCTGCTCCAGGCGGTGACCTGGAGCTGGATGGGGAGTAGGGGTCCGCCCGAGTACCTGGCTCCCAGCCACTTCCCATGCTCCTCTCTATTGTGAGAAAGGCCCGGATGAGGGCCCCGCTGGTCACCCCAACCTTGCAGGCCAGAAAACCACATAGTCTGGGCCAGGTCTGGCCTTTCCTCTGGCCCTGAGCTCAGGCTCCAAGCAGCAGGTTTGAGGGTCATCCGAGGTGGCAATTTCCCTTTTTCTTCCCTCCCAGTGTCAGGGAAGGACTCGGAATAAGCAGGCTGCTGGTGCCAGTAGGAGAGAGTGGAGGAGAGGTAACCAAGGAGCCAGGTGAGGGCAGACGGGACCAAGGGGGAGCCTGCGGGTGGTCAGGTGTGCTTGTGTCAGTAAGTGGGGCCTTGGCGGGCTGGGGTCAGTCAGGGTGAGTTACATTCCTGGAGTGGCCAACAAGGTAGGGAGCCTCTGAGGCGGGCAGCGGAGTGGATAAGCTGCCTTTCCCTCCAGTTCCAGCCTTGGCAAGTTCCCTCTGCAGAAGCGCGGGGAGAGATGGGATTTTTGCTCTACCTCTGCTTCTTGCTAGAGTCTTCCCTAGCCCCCTTTTCCATCCAGAAACCCAGTGAGGGTCTCTAACATGTGAATAATTCACAGCCTCATAGATCTATGTCTGTCTGTCTGTCTATCTATCTATCTATCTATGTATCTGTGTATCTATCTATCTATGCATCTATCATGTATGTATGTATCTATCTATCTATCGAGATAGAGGCAGAGATGGAGATAGGAAAGGGGGAAGGGAGAGAAAGAGAGAGACAGAGAGAGAGAGAGAGAGAGAGAGAGAGAGAGAGAGAGAGAGAGAGACCGAGACCCAAGAGGCCAGGGAAGCTGAGGCTTCCTCCCCTACCCCAGGCCTTTTTTAATCCCTCCCTTCCCAGTTCCCAGGCTGCTCACCCCCAGCGTGGAGCATGGACCCCAGGATGGAGGGGAACCAGGAGGTCTCGCTGTTGGTGGCCTGGAAGTCACGTTGAAGATCAGTGAAGAAGACGCCAACACAGATGGGGAAGCTTGCAGTCAGGGCTTGCGTTATCAACGAGGCCAGAAGTACCATCCAGGACCAGCTGCCATCTGGATGCTCTAGAGCCACAGGCATCTCTGCTACCACTGCCACCACAGCCTTGTGTTACTTGTGACCAATGCCTAAGGAGGGAACACAGTGGACCCTGGTGATTGGCAGGCTGTCGGCCTTCCTTTGGTCCACCTGCCGCCTTCTCTGTGTGGCTGAAACTGTCTCTTCCTCATGCCCCAGCACAGGTATCACAGAAAGGTGCCACTCCTTGGGAGGTGGCCAGAGGCCCATGCTTTGGCCTTGATGTCTCCTTTTACCTACTTCCAAAGATAACCTGGAGGAAGTGACGCTCCTGTCAAGGCAACAGGCGTGGGGCCAGCAGTGGCCAATACAAACAGAGCAGGTGGATGGAATTCTTTCTTGTTACAAGTGGCAGTCACGGAGCCTCCTGAATTTCTCATTAATTGGTTAGAGAATAGTGCAGACCTCTGGAACCAGTGACGTCCTGACCCCAAAGGCACCCACGGATACATTTCCAAACATTTATGACCTGGCTCCCTGCATTCCAATATAGACACTTGCAATGTCACCTGAACAGCCCAAGTTTACTGTTGGCACTGTTGCAAAGGTGAGCAGGCTGGCACTGTGTACACACACACCGGCTTAACATATGACCCACAGCTTTAAAGATAAGGCTCATGGGTCATCCTAAAGCCCTTTATAATCGCTCTACAAAACTCGTTTCACAAGAAGTTCAAGAGTCAAGTTCCACTTTGTCCTGTTATGCTGACTGTCACCTCCATAGGCTCCTCCTAGCTAGGAACCCCAGCTAGTGGAGTCTGTTGCTTTAACGGATGGAGGCACCTGGTCTCACTTGAGCAGAGCTCTGTACAGATACAGATATATACATAGTCACACACAGGCGCACAAGTGCATGTGAAGTCAGTTACAGATACGCACAGAAAAATCCGGAGACACAGGCACACGTAGACACATACTCACAGACACACACACACACACATGGACACACACAGTCACCCACCCACGCACACATACAAAATCACACAAGTAGGTACACAAATGAGTCACACAGTTAACCCAAGGAGACACATACACACATGCAGATGTACACCCACCTGAACACCTGCCAACAAACCCACAGGCTCCACAGACACACAAAAATGCAGAGTCACCCCACACACACACCTACTGTTCACATCTTTGGCCCCAAAGGCGCCACCTGGCCTACCTCAGTCCAGTGCCACCACGCAGGCCACGCCCCTCATCACAGAAGCCTTTGCACTGCCGAGGTCCCCACCCCCAGTTCAGTGTCTTGTCCAGTTCCCTCCAGTCCCGGCTCACCTCCCCTGCCCTGGCCCCTGGCACCCCTCACATCTCAACCCACACTCAGACTCCGGGCTGTGGCAGGCAGGGGGCGGGAGGGCCGGGCTTAACAGGAAGAGGGAGTTTCATATTTTTGCGGTTCCCAGAGTTTGTATGGATCTTCCTGGGTCTTGGACGAAAGGGCATGTGTTATAGGAACCCCAGCTAGTGGAGTCTGTTGCTTTAACGGATGGAGGCAGAGGCAGAGGCTGTTCCCGCAGGAAGTGGAAAGGCCACAGCTGCTGCTGGGTCCTCCTTGTGCTGCCAGTGTCACCTTTCCACACCCTCCGCCGTGGCCCAACCCTCTCCCCAGAGCCTGTCTCCTCAGCCTCCAACCAGCTACTTTTCCAGACCCCGCCAGCTTCCCGGCTTCCTCCTGCCCCTCCCACTCACCTCTGGCCACTGCCCTGTCCTTGTCCCTTCCTCTTCTTTGTCCTGTTACTGCCTTTATCAGCAGCACCTTCCTGGGCAATCTTTTAGGGGACTTCACTGAGGTTCCTGTGACCTTTACTCTGTGCACTTCATTGTCCCCAACTTCTCAGGGGGTGGGGCTAGCTCTTCCCAGCTTCCGTCTCTCCAGGCTTCAGGATCCTGGGGTACCTGGCCACAGCTCAGGTACAATCAGGGCACGAAATCCTTCGCACCTTAGGTATCTCTGCACCCGGGGAGCCCTGCGCCTATGCTCTGAGAACCCCAGCCTCTCCCTGGGAGCCCACTCCTCCACTACAGACTCAACTATCCCTGAAGGACAGTGCCCTCCCACGTCCCCAGACGCCCAGGTCACATACATAGTGTTTGTGTCCAGTTGGTTCTACAGCTCCCTTCCTAGGTCCGCTGGTCCCTCCTCAGGGCCATGGCTACTGGGCTTCTGAAATGCTCAGCCAGAGGAAAGGCCAAGTGATCCTTCAAGAGTCATTTCTTGGGCTGAGGTTGTGGCTCAATGGCACAGCATCTACCTGGCACACGTAGGAGGGCACTCTGGCCCCCACACACATTGGACCAGGCTCTCTTCCCCATTACTCCCTTGATAGTGGGCTTGACACCACACTGGGGAAGACCATCCTTTGTTATCTCACCTCCACCCACATTTGGAACAGAAGGGCAAGTCATGCCTTTGCCTAAGCACAAAGGTAATGTTAATGTGTTTCCCAGGAGCAAGGATGACGGGGCTTCCCAGAGGGCTGTCCATTCCAAAAGATTTAAGCGGGGCAGAAAAGCAGTGGGGCTGCGGGAAGTGGTCTTTCCTTCATGCTGGGAACCATGAGTCACAGGCATTGCCTGGTATATGTTTGGGCAAGGAGGAGACGGGGTAGAGACTCACAGCTCTTTCTTCCTGTAAGTGATGCTCTCAGATAGGGGCCTCGGGACAGTTGGTGTCTGCAGTGGAGGGGTGTCCTCCTCTTTCTCTTCCCTCCTCTCATCCTGTGGGGGGAACCCAAGGGCAAGCTATGAAAGCCACCAGCAGAGGATGGGCAGCCAAGCAGGCCCTGGGGAATTTTTCTCTCCCCAGGTCCCACGTGGAGCAGGCACTACCTCCTGGAGCTGAGGACGCAGGGATCCAGCTTCTATTCCTTTTTTCCACTGTTCCCTGGATAGATTTCTGGGTGCTCTGGAGGTCAGAGAGTCTTGGGGAGCCCTGTTGTCAGGTTTGGGTGCCTCTAGTTATTCTAGGTTTTGGAAACCAGGCCTGGGGCTGTTCTAGAAAGGGAGAGAGACTTTTCTGGATCCTTACGCCTGCTGAAGCCTCCTCAGGTGGGAAGGGGCCCTGGAAACCCATGGCAGGGTGAGTGACCACCCTAGCAGGACTGGTGGGAGGGATGCTTTGGTGGCAGCAGGGACTAGGGCCCACTCACCAGATCCTGAGGCCCCAGGATCTCTCCTTTGAATCATCCACAGAAATTAACATCAGCCTGCCACAGAAGGGTTGACATTTGGAAGCTCTTAGAAGAAAACAGAGGTTTTTTTTTTTTCATCCAAAGAGTCAAATACAAAAACAGAGGAGTTTTCATGAACATGGATTAGGCAATGGATTTTTAAATATCACACTAAAAGCATAAGTGATGATGGAAAAACATATAAAGTGAACTTCAGAATTACACGGATTTTGTTTCCAAAAGACATTGTCAAGAAAGCAAACAGATCTTTTGCAAATGGGAAAGGAATCTAAAAAGGGAGGGAAAAGAGGAAAAGGAAAGTAAAAAAAATTAAGATATGTTTGTACATGTATTCATTTTTTTGTTTTGTTTTTGATTTTTTGAGATAGGGCCTTGAACTCACTATGTAGCCCAGGAAAGTCATATTTCTGGTAATTTTGTATCAAAATTTTAATAACTTAATTTTGGTTTTGTATCAAAATTATAATAAAGAACTCAAAACTCTATGTAAAAGGACAAATAAGTCCACTACAAACGGGCAAAGGCCTTGAACAGGCATTTCTCCAAGAAGGGATCTATACACATTTCCCACAGGCACACGAGGAGATGCACAGCCTCACTGGTCATCAAGGAAATTCAAGTCAGGGCCACAGAAACATGTGCTTCACTCCCAGAGGAATGGCTTAGCTCTGGGTAGTTTATGTGGGATATGCAGTATTTGTGTTCCTTGGAAGGGACATTTTTAAACAGAGGTCGTCACTGTGCTCTAGTCCCAAAGCTGTTACACTCCTATGGTGCTCCTGTCTTTAAGTGCCACAGAAGAACTGCTCTCACATGGGGCAGGTTCAGCTTACCCCGAGGTTCCCTAGACAGATACTGGGAAGAGCAGATGGGGTTGAGCAAGCTTTGCCCCATGGTCCTGTAGGGACAGACTTAAGCTTAGGGGGCTCCCCTGTAGGGGAGTATGGCAGTTACACTTGTGCCACCTTGCAACCCTGTGTCCCAGCCTGGGCATCTCTGTCATGGCTTTAGAACAGCCTAGTTACAACCATCTCTGTCCTCACCCTGGCCAGTCTGGCTGGACCCAGAGATACACCCTGGTGCCTTCTCCCCTTTCAGAAATAACTGAACAGAGAACTTTCCCAGGATTCTAAGTCCCCTGTGGAGCGCCCCCCCCCCAAACTTTGAGCTCTGTTTCAGCATGACAAAGTTGATAGAGCTTTAGGGACTCCCCCACCATCTGGGAGTCCCGGTGCCTTACAGGGTGAGATTCTGCTGGATTTTGGCACCGTTGCTGTAGCTTCCGGACCCGGAGCTAGGCTTCTCCCAAACTCCCCCAGATCTCCTCAGTGACTTTGTTCCCTAAGTTCAAGACTGAGTGAGCTCACCAGCTGTAGTAACTAAGTAACTACAGAAAAGTAAGTTGCTATGGTGTAAAACTTCTGCACAACTCTCTTTACAGGGCAATAAAGAGACACACGGCCTTGCCCCAAGTATAGCAGTGTGAGATGGTAAAACCACACCTTTCTACAGGACCACTGAGC